AGTGGAGACGAGAGCATGAGGTCAGAATTGTTGTATTTTGAATAAGTAAAGAACAAAAGGGAAAATCCTAAAGCTACGTTGAGGTTGCTACTTATATAGTGCGATTTCAAGTGTGGATCGCACGTGAGGCCCACTCAATCTCCGCTGAGTCATGCCACGTCATCCCATAAGCGGGACGGCCCATCTGCCGGGTTAAGCCGTCCCGGTATGTGCACCCACTTCAGGGGGAAATTGTTTAACCAATCAATCCATCTATTCCGCCTGCGGTGCGTCACACTGGGCCGCAGGGATTCCACTAGTCGCTCGTGATCAGTATAGATGGTGGTGTGGGGAGAGTCTCGTAGCCAGTGGGCTAACCGCTGGGTGCTCCAAACTGAGGCCAACAACTCGCGTTCGCAAGTGTCGTAATTGCGCTCCGCCGCAGAGAGTTTGCGGGATATTATCGCGGTGACTCGTCCGTTCTCTTTCAATATTGCGCCGAGTCCCTTAAGACTCGCGTCGAGGATGAGTTCCAGCCGTGCGCCCGGGGTATGTGTATGTATGGTCATGGCGCGCAGGCAGGCGTCTCGTATCCTTTGAAAGGATAAGGTGGTGGTTGCATTCCACCTCCAGGGGGCATTCCCAGTGAGTGGGGTAATGTCGGCCACTAGTGCTGACAGGTTGGGAATGTAAGGCCGGAAGGCGTTGACTGTGCCGAGGAATTCCTGTAGTTGTTTCTTATGCCGAGGAATTGGCCAGTTTTCCAGCGTTGCAGTGGGGACGATGGGGGAAATCGTCCCGTGCCCTAGGCGGGTACCCAAGTAAGGGACTGATGGCTTGTGCCATAGGCATTTTTTATAGTTCAGAACAAGACCTGCACTGTTCAGGCGTTTTAGAACTTGCCGCTCGCGGACAAATAATTCCTTATCGGTCATGCCGTAGATGATGATATCATCCGCGAATGCAAAGCAGCTTAGGCCGAGAAGGCCTCGGAGAACGAAGGTGATAAACCTCTGCCAGTAGGCAGGTGAGTTGCACCACCCTTGCGGTAGACGGCAGTATTGGAAATCTCCGTCCGGCGTCGCGAAGGCGGTGAGGTGTCTGCTTGTTTCGTCAAGGATGAGGTGGTGGAACGCATCCTTGATATCCACTTTGGAGAAAACACGGTGGCGGGAGGCTGTGTGGAACATATCCTCCGTGTTAGGCGTGTCGTAGGAGAGTGGAATTGAGACACGGTTGAGGGGTGTAAAGTCGCCTACCACGCGGGGTAGGTCGTTGTCGCGAGGAATGAGGAGTAGAGAGACTCGACTCATTGCGTGCGAATTTTCGATGATACCATTTGCCAAATTTGATGTAACCCAGGAGCTGATTGTCGTAAGATCCGTCTGAGAGTAGCGGAACTTGTGTGGTTTCCAGGAGTGGAAACCCGGTGTCGTATTAATTGGTATTTTTATTAGTTGAGGCGGGCCCTTTGCCACGCCGGCGGCGCTGCTGGGAGCGCAGGGAGAACAGTTCTTCATCGTAGCTGATGGCGGTGCTGCGCAACTCCTCATACGTAGTGCTCGAGTCCCCGACGAGCTGTTTCTTCACTTCTGGTTTGAGACCAGCACGAAAAGCGACCATGCGGCTAGCGGTGTCGTAGTTGAGTGCAACCATGAGTTTATCAAACTCCAACGCGTATTGTTGAGCCGAGCCTTTCTGGCGAAGAGAACGTAGAGCGAGGTCTGCCGATTGTTTCTGAGTGTCCTGGGATGGCAAAAACGTGTCCCGGAGCGTGTCCTCGAATGGTTCCCATTCATCGAGGAAAGTTGGTGTATCCTTCAGTTTTGACGTGAGCCAGTCCAGAGCTTTACCGCGGAATTTGGACGCAACGAAACCAGTCTTCGTTTTTTCCAGGGTAAACTTGGAGGGTTTGGATAGGAAGTAGACGGTTGCGTGGGTGAGGAGATGCTCGAGCTCCACGGCTTTTCCAGTGAAGTTCACGTCGTTGGACATGTCCTCGTCGCTTTCCGAAGAAGAAAGGTCAGGGGTAACAGGGGCGCTGGAATCGTCTATGCCTACCAAAGTAGTCTCTTCTCCGATTTCGTGTGGCTCTTCTGGTTGAATGCTGGGGAACAGTCTGCGATGCAACGACCTTGCTGCAGCTTGCCTGATGGAGGGCGATTCGATACCGGAAATTGTGCACGAGGACTCCCCCTGTATGTCTGAAGGCAGGTCGGCAGGGG